ATATATATATATATATATATATTATATATATATATATATATATATATATATATATATATATATATATATATATATATATATATATATATATATATATAATGTAGTGTGAATGTAGTATTTATCGCTATAACGATTGTCCAGGTGACAAAATATTGCATTACTCAAAAAATAACTTCATCTTAAATCAAGTTTGTATATATGTATCTATTGCTTAAATGTTATATGTTTTTAATATTGGGCAAAATATTAACACAAATTATTTATTTCAATAATTAAATATAAATTAATATTAATAAGCTAGCATTAAATGAATCAAGATAAAGAAAATAAAATAAATAAAGACTTAGCAGCGTACCTATAGATTCGATGTCGATAATATCGCCACCGAATTACATAAGAATTCCTTAAGGGTTGACATCATACAATCTTCCAACTTACGTTTGGCTCGGATTCAAGGATACTTGTCTTTTGACTTGTTATTTAAAAAAAAAAAAACATGAATATTATAGCCTGTATGTCTGTAATAATAATTTTTCTAAAATAACAGAATGAATAGCAAATATATCTGTAGCTAAATTTGTATAACATATTATCTTCCCTTAACGAGAATCATCTAAAGACGCCGTTGGGTAGATCTCATAGTTCTAGCCCCAGCAGAAGAATGACTCAAAGCCACTAAAACTGAAGATGTTGGAACGGCCCAGAAGTAGAGGATAAGAATAGAAAACAAATAAAAGATAACCGTAATAAATAAGGCAAGAAAGAGATCTGAGAGACTTGCTCGCTGGGAATTACACCTGCTTCTCTTCGGCTTAGCCAATTTGACCAAGTGGGGAGTTGCTTTCTTTATTGATGTCTAAAAAAAAAGCTACTGCCTCCAACACAAGTATTCATCCTTATGTAAAAGTCTATTAGGTTACACGAACTCAACTGTAAAAGAATATTTAAGTATTTTTTTAATATCACGAAAGTTATCCTTATGTTTTATACCAGCTTTGGAAGTATCTAAAAATATGGTGTCCACGGGATCTTCTAATTAAGATATTGAAACTTAGACTTTTATTGTGAATTTTAATTCTATAGGCCAGGGTTTGATATCGATGATTATGTTTTCCACAAAATCATGTAGTTATTATTATATTTGATTTTCATCATGCCTGATTTATAAATAAAAATTTAAATCGATCTTTGATATTTATTGATTCGATTGAAAATAATGACCACTCACTGAGTAATAAGGTTTAGCATAAATAATAATGGTTAAATTGAGATAAAAAAATTTTGATCGGAAAATAATAATCCCCTTTTATAAACAAATTAAATTAAACATTAATATGTATGTATATGTTGTCAATGAACAATTGTTTGTAACTTACGAAATTATACTTCTGAAATCGCTGTAATTGTGCACGCAGTGACTATTGTGCACTATGTACATACTTTTTTTTTTTAGAATATTGTTTTAGTGTATAGGATGGATCACAAAGAAATCAGGGTTTGAAATCGATAATTATTTTTTCCAAAAAATCATTTAATAATTATTACATTTCATTTTTTAGATGGTGATTTTGGCATGCACCGATACAAAGGACGATCACCTTTTATTCCCAAATTAAATTAAATATTAATATGTATGTATACGTTCCGAATGTACATTTTTTTATATATTATATTTCTGAAATCGCTTTAATTGTGCACGCGGTACCTGCAAAATATATATGAATATATTTCTTTTTTTTCGTAAGCCAAAACCTCTTATGAATTTCGAAAATAAAGAAGTTCTATTGCTAATATTTGACGAAAATATTCTTCACCTACAACTCCAGATTTAAAATATATCAAAGAGATCACAACAAAGTTATATTTCAGATTTTAAAAAAGCATTACTCGAGAATTATTATCATAGTTAATTTAAAAATTTTGTTCGAAAAAAATGAGCAGGATTTGAATTTTATCGCCTATGATCAAAAATAAAAATCGCTCTTAATAAAAATAATTATAACTATTTCTGCCTGACTGACAAATAGATCTCAATATCACTTGGATGAATTTTGAAGAACTATACTAAATTAATACTCTTCTAATCAGAGTTTTGCGACCTCGTTAATCAATGACCTGATCGTTTACCCCATTAAAACGTATGTGACCCAATGTGAAACAGTAGTGAGTCAAGTGATACAATTCGGGCTGGAAATAAGAGGTTTACTAGTTTGGAAAATCTACGAAAAAAATCCTATGACGTATTCAAGACAAGTGGGGGAAGAGTACTGGCCTAAAAAAAAAAAAAAAAAAAACAGAAAAAAAAGAACTGAAGGCTTGGAAATAGCAATGAGGAAAAGGAGACTAAAATTGTTCGGGAAAATGAAAACAGGTTGAACAAACATATATTCGACAAAGTGATGGAGATAACAAACATTGAACCCCAGTCAAATGAATGAGAAAATATAAAATCTAGGTATAATTGAAAAAGAATTCTAGGATAGAGAATAAAGCAGGTAATACATTAAGGTCTTTGTAGTCATAGGTGCAGATTTTCCATTTTAGGGGGGGGGCGACGATGAACCCCCTCTCACTCCAAAACAAAGTCTCGGGACTTTATATCATGTATAAAAATTATAAGTTATAATAAACAGAATTATTGTAAAAAGAAGAATATAATATTAAAGTATATGCACAATAAACTAAACAATATACCGTAAGATGGGGTAAGTTTGGGGCAGCGAGTAAAATTTAGTTTGCGGCGATTCCGTGGTAGATACATTGTGTTTATTCAGTCAGCATGGACAGCGCATGTACTTCGCTACTACCTTGCGGCACATTATCTACTCTTGAGGCACAAGCGAAAGTTCATTGAAAACGATAATTTTTAAAACAAGCAATGGAAATAAATAAAACCTAACTTCCCAACAAGTGTAGTCAATTAGGATTCCTAAACAGCCACAAGGTAGAAGCTCAGTGCATGCCTACACAAATCACTTTTTTGCAGTCTGAACCAACACAGTGTATCCACCACGGAATCACCACAAACTAAACTTGTGTCCCTAAGTTACGTATCCAATCCTAAAGTTACACCATCTTACAGTAGATAATATTGATTATATTAAAAATATTCTTTAAAACTATTTTTCAACCATTGCCTTCAGTTTGATAACCTTATAATTTTAAAGAAAAAAATAACCATTTTAAATTAAAATGTTATCTATTCATTGAAACTATTTATTATAACTATACAACACAATTAATTCATTATAGTTTTTAGTTTTATAATTACAAATCTTTTTTTACACCAAAAGATTGTTTGGAATTCATTTAATTTTCTTATCTGATATTTCTATGTCACTTAATATTTGTTAAGTTATTATTACATATAATTTAAAGAATTTTTCTTATTATCGGTAGGAATACAATTGTACTTATCTTTGAATATAAGCCTTAGCCTAGGACATCTAGTCGTCTTTTCCTATTTTCTTAATGGATTTTAGTTTACATGTGTTATTCATTCATGTAAATTAATTGTTATTTATTTTGATTTTATATTTTGTTCTTCGAAATATTGGGGGGGAGGGGGACGGAACGAGACTCTCACCCCCTCAATACTTTTATTTGAGAACCGAAGTCTACACCTGTACTTGTAGTGAAAAAAAAAAAGGGGGACAGAAAGGAAAAAAAATGGGTAGACGAACGAAAGAGATATATGCGCGATCCTTCGATGTCCATTGTTGTGAAAATATATAAAAGAAAATATGCACCTTGTATAACAGTTTAAAATAACGAAATAAAACTATAATATATTTGATTACTTTTATGTGCATAATAATACAACAATCTCCCACATACAAGGACAATGTGTATTAGAGCTGTAAATGCCATTAATAAAATATAGTAGACAAATAGTAAATAATATTGCTAACATTGCTAAGCTTAAAGAGTTATTGCATGAGTTCCGAGACCATTGTAAATCAATTTCGCTCACGAAAAATTTATGTCAAGTAATTTATTATTTTTTAACATCAAACGCATTCAATCCTTTCAGTCCGATGTCCTTCGAACAATTGTTGATGCTCCTTTCTATGTAACCGAAACCTACACTATGACCTTCATATCCCATTTTTCCTAGACCTTATCCCTGCAAATTTTTCCATATTCCATCAAAACCTTTCATATCATCCAAATCCACTTGCACAATCCCTGTCTAGCTCTACCCATCTCTACAATTCTCCTGGAAGGTTGAAGCATTTTTTCCCTTACAAACCTAGTGACTTGTTGTAAGAATGTATTGGAGTAATGGCAATGGCCAGATTCACCACTCAAGCCATGTATGTCTTGTTATAGTGCCTCTGTTCAGGCTCCAGTGGTCCTTAATACCAATGATGCGGCTGAGTGAGAGTCGCTGGGATCCCTTAGAGTTCTGCCTTTCCATCCACGAGTCGGGGGATAGGATTGACTCGGTCATCTTGAGTGAATGAATATTGTATATATTGTATAAAATCATGTGTGCATTCAAGTAGTTATTTTGATTAGTTTAGTTTCTTTTTGTTTAGTTTAGTTTCTTTTAGTTTATATACTTTACTTTTATTATTTTTATTTTTTCTGTTTACTTATTGTTCATAGTGTGAATGTGCTACTGTTTATCACTATTACTATTGTCCATAAATGTGAAAGATTGTAATATATCTCGATAAAGAATTTTAAAAAAATAAAGTCATTTATTAATACGTAAATTATTTTCAAAACTTTTTTTTGATGAAAATCGTTTCAACCATTAACACAAAATTAAACTTTTACCTAAAAAAAAAACTAGCAAGAGAGCTAAAGCACCTTGCAGTTACATATATCGGAGTGTATCCTGCTAAATCGGCCGCGAAGGGGAGGGGAGGGGAGTAGGGGCTATTCGTTGTGAGATGTCGACCGAAGGAAGGAGGTTGGGGTATATTTCGAACAAAAGGAAACAGCAGCTTGGATTTAGTCTCTGCTCTGGAAGATACTTTCCCATCTGCAACTCATCCTATAACTGCCCCAGAGCGACCGTCTTTGTCGTGATTTAGGAAAGGATGAAATTCGAGATATCTCACCGACACTGTCCGATGTTTCAGAAAGTTCAACTATAAATTAAAAATTTAAAAAAAAAGGTCATAATTTAAAATAAGGCTGTATTATTTCACCACGTATATTTTCTTTTTTTAAATTGGCTACGTTTCGGCTATGATGCCATTCTAAAGCCATCTGTTAGACCGAATTCACAATTAGTTTCATACTAAACTATATTTAACATGATATGATATTGATATTAATCATCTCTTAAAAACCAACATTATATAATTAAAAATATAACACTTATACAGGCATCTCAACACACATCACACAACAGGAACATACTGTCGATTCCAATAATACTGAAATAGTAACAAGTATTTTTTTTTTAATTTTATTTATTTATTTTTTTTAATATTAATTTATATTATTTATTATTTATTTATTGAGTATTACAACAATCTGTCACATGGACATTAGTTATAGTGAGATAGGATAACATTCATACTATATGTACAAAAAATATAAAATAAATGTAAGCAAATTAACAACAAATAATAATCAAAAAGTAACAAGTATTAGAATCAATTTATATTGCAACAAATCTAGACACAGTGTTTTCAGGTAGATATAAAAGGGCTAAACAGTATATATGCAAATATCATCACTAAATTGGAATTCTAATTAAACAATATATGTAATAGTTTAAGTAATAGCCCTTGATGGATACATAGTAGAAATAACAACATAACAATATGTAATATCCCAACCACACTTACATAGAGACTGTAATCCAATCATGGACTGTATATGAGGAGTAATATTAAATCAAGCGAGAATATTAAAATTAAATTAGATTGACATTGCCTTAATATATGCAATTTATTTAATAGATATTCTTATTCTATCTCATATTTTACTTTAATTGATTTGCTAATTAACATATTGACTCAAACTAATTAAGGTTATAATTTATACAATGTTGGATTTAAGAGATGATTAACATCGCTATCATGTTATGTTAAATGTAGTTTTGCATGAAACTAATAGTGACTTGTCTCTCACAGATTGATTGAAAATCAGATCATAGCCGAAACGTTGCAAATATAAAAAGAAAAGAAAATAAACTTATTTGATATTATTAACTATAATTGCACCTTAAACAAAAACACACTATTTCCTTCGTTTTTTTCGCCCCCCCTCGAACAAATAAAATTTTACCCATTTCTACTCTACTATTTACGACTCAAATAACTGTTCAACCATTTGAAATGATTTCGTACACACTATAGGTTTTGAAAAAACAGAGATGAGCAAAATCGGGATCAATGATTACATTATTATAACTGATAATAAATTTTAATTGAATTTTATACTTAATTCAATAGACTATAAATACAGTAAAAATGTAACCCACAATAAATATAGCTAACTATAAATATATTTATGTAACTCTCTATAAATATAGAAAAAATGTGAATAAATACATATAGACACGTCAGATAGATTATCTGATAAACGGATTAAAACCATCAGAAACCTGATTATGATTGTAATCGTGTAATCGCGTGATCGAAATCATCGTAATCGTAATAACGTAATCATAATTACTTTATATGTCATAATCGCAATTGTTGATTATATTTATACTTTCCTATAAAAAAACCAACCAAATTACAAACTAAAAGTCACAACAAATTGATATTCATTCATTGATATTTACAACTGTATTCTAAAAAAAAAATACAACTAGTAAATGTGCAATCAGGAATATAATAACATGAAATAGCTTGTTGAGAAACTACCCACTGATATCACTCAAAAATATATATATATATATATATATATATATATATATATATATATATATATATATATATATATATATATATTTTAAATTTAAGTGAAAGGGTAAATTGTTAAGAAAGAGGAAAAAATGATGGTATGTTAGGGAATTGGTAAACGTTTTGAAAACGATTGTTATGTTATTACTGACTATTATTATTACTTATGTTACCCTAACAAAAAAATATTAGGTACTGTTGATGTCATCTTGCAGCATCGTTAACCGGGGTGACTTTGAGACTAGAGTTTGTTTTAAATTTAAAATCACCTAACAGATTGGAGCTTTGTTACACCCGGAATAAAGGAAATTTGTCTGAATAAAAAAAAATAATTTAACTCTAATTTTAACTTCATATTCAAAATTAATTTTAGTAAATAGTCACTTCATAGTCCCAAAATAATCCCTATTACGCTACTGGATTTCTTCACTGTATAGGTGATGTTGATCAAAAATTGTTATTAAAAATAACACATAGGATTGGTAAAAGAAAATAGCCTTGAAGAACGGCAAGTGGGGTGTTTCGAACTAGTAAAATTCACGATGAGTATGGCTTATTAGGAGTATGCTCAATTGTACTGTGCTAGTGCAATAACAGAGGAACTGAGAGGGATAGAAGCAAGAGTCTAGAACCAGGCTAGCTTGATTCGCCAAGTTTTATTTACTTGTGAGATATCCTTAAAGTATGAAAGAGCAAGAGGAGGAAACCGTTTCCTGGCAAGAGAGACAGAAAAGATCTGGAGGAGAGGAAAGTGGCCACGATTCAATTTTATTTCTTTAGTAACCAAATTTTCCACTGGCTTTAGTACCAGAAGCAGTTAATGAAGTGGTTCAGGGATCTCCTGGAGTCCTGCTTTTTCCTCCATAGTTGGAGGGACAAGCCTGCCTTGGATTTCCCTCGCCTGATTTTAAATAGTGTATATAGGTATTATATAGGTATTTCTTATCTTTAATTTATTTTATTTTATTTATTGTATATACTTTTTGATTATTATTTAGTTACTTTTCTTCTATTTATTTTGTATTTTTCGTTACATTGTGTGAATGTGCATATAACTCTCTATAACTATTGTCCAAGTGTTATATTATTCAATAACAACAAAAACTACCAAATCTTAATTTTTTCCTACCTGAATAAGTTCATCTAATCAAGTTATCTGTCTTCTATCTATCCAGGACAGCGTTAGACAATATGTATTTTTATCAAGGTTTTCAACCGTTGCATCATCAAAATTTAAACATACTCAAATTTCTACTAATCAATTAACAACACTTATATTAATTTTGGATCCCCCTTTCACATCATACAGTAGATAGAATGAAGTTTTAGTTTTGGTTTAACACTCACAGTTTATTTATAATTTCACGCAGTCCATTCATACTCAAAACGGTTGAGAACCTGACCATTAAGTTGAAAGCATTCGTTTACATAGACCTATATATGGGTACTAAATAGAAATTATGTTTTTAATAATATTTTTCTGTGAGAGTGAGTAAACTTCTATATTTACCAATTTTTTTTTTTTTGGTTTATTGATAAATATTACAATCTGTCTCAATAAAGGACATTTATAATAGAGTTCTGAGAGCACATTCACACCATATTTACAAATTTAAAAAAATAAGCTAACTTCAAATAATATAAAGCTACAAAAGAACAAAATAAAATATCATAGTGAGAAAAAAAAAATGAAAATAAACATCTTAGACGCAGGCATACCTATTACACTATTTACAGTCGGCCATAGGAACTCCGAACCGTACTTATCCCCCCACACGTGGAGGGAAAGCAAGGCATTTACCAATTAAAAAAAAAAAAAAAAAAAAAACTAGGAAAGAGTGTAGTTTTACAAACATATTTCAAAATTGTACACTTACCTACGACACTTAGATATCCAAACTGAGTCTTAGCTGTTGCAGTATTGATTTGGCACATGTATCGACCTCCATCTTCTTCCTTCACATCGGCAATGTGCAAGTTCCAAGTTCTGTGGTTTTCATGTGAGACAGTGATCCGGGGATTGCGGGTTATGACGTGACTGTGTACCGCTAGGATGGCAGACTGCTCGAAGTGCATCCAAGCCACCTATGGCAGAAAAACGTCACATGTAGTATCAGATACATATAATTCAAAAGACACAAATTCGCCTAATCGGCAGAAATATTTATAGTTGTAATGCAAATTTGAATAAATACAAATTATGACATCAGTTACTCGTCGATATTGATAAAGGATGATAAATAATTTAATAAACTGTTTTTAAAAGAGAATTTGAACTATGGATTAGACCTAGAACAGGGCTGGCCGATTTAGACAGAGCAGGACTTCGGATTTGGCTTTTACAAAATATATTTATTTTGTAATGCTCTAAGTAGTCAAAACCACTGTATTAAAAAATAAATTATTTGCGCATCCATATACTTAATCTAATAATTGACGAAATTATGAGAAAAAATTAACTTTGATTTTAAAATAGTATTCTTACGAATATATAACTGATATTGCCAGTTTTATTTATGAGATTACAATTTATGAGTTTGCGGAGTAATTAAATTATATTCAGAGAAATAATGACGAGCGCGCATCGTGGAACGTCTAAAATAACAGACTCTATATTTCACTCTAAATTAACCTTAGTGATGTATGACCATCCCTAGATATGTTTAGTTGATTGTTGACAGAAGAGCAAAGCAGACTATCAGTTTCAAGTGAAAATAACTTAAACTTTTTTTTAGAGAGAGAGAAACACTTTATTTTCATAAAATATAAAGGATTGCTACCCAATTATATTGGGTTGCTATATACACAGCATACTCTTCTATCCTTAAGACAATATATGAACTTATATATAAATATATATAGAAGTATCATATATAAATATATATAGAAGTATTAGTTAATATTAGTAAAATATATATATATATATATATATATATATATATATATATATATATATATATATATATATATATATATATACATTTTTATTATTTTATTTATTTTTATAATTTTTTTTTTTCCTTTTTCCTTCTTCTTATTGTTCATGCTTTTTTTTTTTTTATTTAACATTAAGTTTCTCTTTCTCTCACTTCTCTCTCTTTATCTCTATTGTTTTCAATTATTCACTAAATAAATAAATAAACAAATACATAAATTAAAACTATCGGGCTAGCCATGCACGTGGTGGTGAATGATTCCCAGGGAGTCGAGGACTATATTTTCAGCCAACCTCGCTACGTCCTTAATGTCGACACCTAGTTCCTCGAGGAAGCTCCTTGTTCTTTTTGGAATAGTTCCGCGAGACCCAAACCAGAGGCCTCTCAAGTAATAGTTGACCGTTGCATTATAAAGGAAGGAGATGGTCCGGGGTGGCGGTCATAAATATGCTGAATAGTGACAAAACTATTTTATTAAAAGCCAACGTTTCGACTTGGCAGGTCTTCTTCAGGGAGGTGGGTTCAGCTAGGAGTTTCACTTAGAACTGGACGCGACTCATAAATAAAACGGGTCGAAACGTCGGCTTTCAATAAAATAATTTTGATACTATTCAGCCTCCTTCCTTTATTATATTTTTTTTCTTTATTTATCCTAAGGGAGATACTTATTTTCTAGGTATATAAGTAAGAATATTTTTCCCCCGTGATTTATTCTCTCAAAATCATTCCACTCAATTACGTCATAACGTTTCGAGACTTTTTTTTATTTCTTTATGACATTTAAAACTGTATTACATAAATACATCAAGTAAATTTGGACATAATTGATATAATGACATGAATACACTTGCTGAGTAACTACCCAATGGTAGCACTCTAATGATATGACTACATTAGGAGATCACGGGGCCATCTTCTTTTCAGACGCCTCGGAGGGTTATCAGGAATTGAAGAGGAAGCAAGGTTAGAAACGAGACGGTTGGGATGATTCTGAAGTTTATTATGGAAGGATAGGTATCTGGATTGGGCCAGATCTGAAACATAAGGAACATTAAGATCTTTATGGATAATTTTATTAGTGACAAAGTAAGGAGCATTGAGGAGTTTCGAGACTAAAATAGGATTTCCAGCAATAGGACAATAATAAAACAATTTAATTAATATGGCAAGTCTTATGGAGAATAAGATGTCCCGAAACGTTATGACGTAATGATGTAATTGACGGGAGAATAAATCACTGGGAAAAAATATTCTTACTTATATTTTTCTTTATTTTCACTCCAAAAAAAATCTCTATAGTGGTTCTAAATAAAATATGGGGATGTATAATTTTATGTGGATCCCCCGGATCTGTGATGCATTTCCAAAATGGCTCGCAAGATCATTTGTTTTGGCCGTTCCTGGATTAGGCTATAAATACATAAAAAGCTGGGCAAATTTGGAGATCTATTCTATTTCATCCTTTGAAATAAATATCCTTTCACATTGAAATTTCGGAGCGCTCTTGCCTTTAACGAATGAGACTCCCAAACTGAGAGTTCAAGGATAAAAGGAAGTGCGGACGCCAAGCCCTGCGTTATAGCCCCGGAGTGGTGCGGGTCAGTCGGCAGTTTTATAATGAGGGATCCGGCAAGTTCTATGCCGTTACGTGCACGGCTTGTATTAAGCATTCCCCAGAAATGAAAGCTGGCCTCTCTCATTACAGCACCGGGTGGACCTAATGGTTCCGCGCCCCCTCCAACTAATATACATTCATAGCGGCTACACTATAGCCCTTATAGGTTTTCTATCAGCGGCGCCTCTTCGTCTTCGGGGTTCGATACTCTTCCCTTTCTTAAGGGCCACCGGCTCCCATTAGCCAAGAGGGTATCCATGTTGTCACCAACTAAAGTTGAGGGATATCCAAAGCAATGAAAACTTCAATCAGACTTCATTCATTACTAGAGTTGATGCGATATCGGTAAAGTACCTTATCGATATTGAACTAGTTTCTGATATCGATATAAGTATAATATCGAATGAAATATATCTATAACGCCACTATCGAAATTAAATGTTTGAAATACTTAACAATTATGCCATTATTAGCAAAAAAATCATGAAATGACTTTTCATAACCCTAAATAATGGATGTGAAATGAGAAATATAAGCCATAATGAATTAATAATTTTGATGAGCTTGAATAGACTTATCGTCCTCACAAAGTCAACATGAAATGTTAAAATCATTCAATTACGAAATTTAAGTTCAGTACTTCAATTTAACCGTAAATGATGAAATTAACAATTAGTTGTTTAAGAGGTAATCATAATGAGTAAATGAGCACTTTGTTGAGTTTTATGATCTACAATAAGTGAGGAATCACCAAAATTTCAGCGAACAAAAGAAAATTTTTAAAATTAACATTAACACTTATATCATATCGTAAGGCTTGAACGAACATTTTTTTTACGTTGTAGTTTACTTATAAACTAGTAGACCCGTGAGAAAAATTTGCACAGCATGTTGTTATCAAATGTCAAATTAATAAGAAAATAAAATAATGCAACGTATCAAAAGATAAAAGAATCAATTGTTACTTTATCGATAAATTTATTCGACAAAGGAAACAAATTTAATCAATTATATATATACATGATATATTTAAGTAGGTATTTAATTAAAGAGACAAAATTTGCCGATCTCCAGATTGAAAACGCACCAATTCCGGGAATCTTAGTAAATATAATATTTGTAGGTTACAATGAGATGGAGACATTAATGAGATTCAGGCGGATGTTAATAATTTGATAAAAAGGGGTCTGTACCACGGACTATAAATAGAACGGCAGGTTTAGACGATATTTTGAGAATTCCACATATTTGTAAGTGCTCGTTCTGAAGAAACGAAGGAATAGCCAGGAGATACAAAATCAAAAAGGTTATGAACCATTCGCAATTACAGTGGGGTATACATTGATGATTAGATGTGAGAAAATACATACGGTGAAATAACTCCAAATATATAATAAATAATGTTGGTAAGTTATTCTATTAAATTCAAAAAATAAATGAGGCATTCAAATCGTTTCAAAACCTTTAATTCTGTTGCAGAAAATAAAGTAAAAAGGTAAAATTCAGATTTTTTTTTATAAATTTTTCAAATGTAAATTTCACGCTGCATCATAAGCTCAAAAGAAGCTTAAATTGGAAGTTAAAAGTCGATCCGCTTAATAATTTTCGTGCTTACAGATGCGTTCAAGCATTTTCTACCAAAAGCATTCCATAGTTCGAAAGAAGTAGCGTAGTATTCATTAGATGAAGTAATACTGTGGATTCAAGACATCTTGTATTACAGATTTTTCATTTGAAGTGCTTTTATTCTTTATTTAGTTTTAATCTTGATATAGTTAAGTGAATACTTTATAAAAGAAAAAATTACTATTTACTAATTATTATTATACATATACATAGGCCAGGATCTAATATAAAAATTCATTCGTCGGTTGACAAGAACAGTAATTACAACGACTCACCTCAGCACTTAGGTACCAAAATGTTTATTCATGAAAAAAACACAAATGCTCGAACATTTGCAAAATCTAAAGACTATATTATTATTTTAATATTATATTAGGATACGAATTTCACATATATAAACATAAACATTTAGAAATAAATATATAATTAGAGGTATTAGGGCTCGAAAATCTAAGGCACCTGAGGCGTATCTTACGAGAAAATAAATATATAAATTTTTTCTTCTTAAATTTTATCCAAAGATTGAAAATGTTTTATAAATGATTTATACCTGTTTAATAAAAATGAAAATCAACAAACAACCATACAGAAAAGACCCAAAGTGGATTGATTCAGATTAGAAATAGATATTTAGAATTTTCAGAATCGTGGTAACAATTCGGAATTAAGATGTTATATATGTTATTGGATACATATGTTTTACATGAATATGATGCAAGGCACTATATTGAATTTAAATGCTTCGTGTAACGAATAAATTAAAATATGAGACTGCACTAAAATAATATTCTTTTATATTTCATTTTCATCTAATTGTTTTATTTTTTATTTTATTTTTTTATTTCAATGAAATTTACAACTGTATTACATGGAAAATACAACAAGTAAATGTGACATTGGCAACACGACATATACTAACTACCCATTGGTAGAACTGAAATTAAAGTTCTATATTAGAAGGTCCCGAGGCCATCTTATTTTCAGGTGCCTCGGAGGGTTATCAGGGATCGAGGAGGAAGCAAGGTTTGAAACGAGAGGATTCGGATGGTTCTGCAGTTTGTTATGGAAGGATAGGTATCTGGATTGGGCCAAATCGGAAACATATAAGACATTAAGGTCTTTATGTATGATTTTATTTATGACAAAGTAAGGAGCGTTGAGGATTTTACGAAGGATTTTGGATTGTAATCATCTAATTGTAAATTTCAATTTTGTGTTGTTTTAAAATTAAAATGAATTGTAGAAGGACTTATTGAAGGAAGTTAGTCGACAGTTCTACATATCATGGGTAATAAATATTCAGGACGCAGTCTTATATAATAAAAAAAAAAATTGTATTTATGCCAACGTTTCAACCGAAAAATTTGGGTCATCTTCAGTGCTGAAATTTTTTAAAAATATAATCAGAGATATAATATCATAGGACCGATAATAGTAAATAATAAACTATAGTGATTGATGGTACATGAATCTTAACTAATATTGCAATACACATATTAAAAATGAAATAGTTATACAAACTAAAAATTAAAAAAATAATGTATATAATCCATTTATACAAATTTGTAATATTTTCTCTTACTAACCGTGGTTTGAGCACTGAGGGTGTTCAAGTACTGACACATTTGATAGGTAAGTGAATAGGTAAGGGGGGGGGGAGATTTCCCAGTTGTCCTTTTTCAAATAGCAAAAGGTAGGTAAACATAGTCAGAGGGGAATGGAGGTAACATTTATGTTTGTAGAATGTAAATAATTTGCTGACTAAATATTTCAGATGTGTACAATATTTGCGTTGTTTCTTTTGGTTGCAGAAATGTGACTATTGGCTAGTAATGAAATGAACATAAGATAGAGGTGCCAATAAATATAAATATAACTTAGTTCAATTAAAAGTATACAATGGTTAGACAAATAATATTTATTATAATGACAAGTGTTGGCAAACGTTGGCATAAATAAAAAAATATATAAATATATATATTTTTTAAAAGACTGCGTCCTGAATATTTATCACCCTAGAAGGACTTATATTAAAATATATATGTTAATAGCTTCCTAGGGAAATTTATTTTAAGAGCAAAGACAAAAATGAGAGAAAGGAGAGTTCCAGTAATTTTGGCAATGCAATGCCTTGGAGTGAGAGAGAGAGAGCGGTAGGGAGAGCCAGAGGATTATTTACTAGGGAGGAGGAACGCAGGGAATCCGGATGGACAATTGTCATAGCCGACGTAGAGAGTAAGAGAATGCATGGGCAACCCGATCCCGAATGCCAGCTACCACCACTTGTGAGTCAATAGGAAAACTCCACCACCTTAGGAACCATCGCCATTTCCTCTCCAACTCCAATCCCCTCACAGAAAGCTAGTTGTTTTTTAATTATTTATAATACTACTAAAATATACAAAAATCTCGAAAGGATATATTATGAATGGAACAATCCAAACTATAAAGACACGAGTCTAAAAGATACAAGTGAGCAGCTAACTTACCAACGTTTCGGCAATTCAGGTATCATCAGGGCAGAAAAAACAAGACCATATACAAGCAAAAAGAAAGAAAAAGTGCATTTGTTATTGACTTCTCATCAAGCCATCCAAAAATATACAGAAGGAAAATAGGAGAGGAAGGTTATGCAAAACAGCTGATTAGCTAAACGGAAAAAAAAACTCATAGTTGAAATATAAAATACAAAAATTTGTTAATAAAATTAAATATAAAAAAGAACATTATAATAAATACAAAAAAGTTCGAAAGTGTATAAAATATACATACCCCATTAAACTTAATAGATACACGGCTCCTCTACAAATAATACTATTAAAATAAGCGAAAATCTCGAATGGAGATTATGAATGGAACAATCCAAACCATAAAGACACGAGTCTATAAGATACAAGTGAGCAGCTAACTTACCAACGTTTCGGCAATTCAGGTATCATCAGCGCAGAAAAAACAAGACCATATACATGCAAAAAGAAAGAAATAGGAGAAAAGTGCATTTGTTATTGACTTCTCATCAAGCCATCCAAAAATATACAGAAGGAAAATAGGAGAGGAAGGTTATGTGAAACAGCTGATTAGCTGGTATAAACGGGAAAAAAACTCATACTTGAAATATAAAATACAAAAATGTCTTCATAAAAATAAATTGAATAGCAAAAACAAGAACACTATAATAAATACGAAAAAGCTCGAAGGTGTATAAAATATACATACCCCATTAAACTTAATAGATACACGGCTCCTCCACAAATAATACTATTAAAATAAGCGAAAATATCGAATGGAGATTATGAATGGAACAATCCAAACTATAAAGACACGAGTCTATAAGATACAAGTGAGCAGCTAACTTACCAACGTTTCGGCAATTCAGGTATCATCAGGGCAGAAAAAACAAGACCATATACATGCAAAAAGAAAGAAATA